AATGCTGCCGGTGCATTGGTTAAACCAAATGACATCACAAGAAACTCGTAGTGACCATATCTAGTGCGAAAAGCACTCTTAGGTATGTCACTCTCCTTGATCTTCAATTGATGATAGCCCGATCTCAAATCAATCTTTGAGAACACCATAGCCCCCCATAGATGATCAAACAAGTCATCAATCCTCGGTAAAGGATACCTATTCTTGATGGTGACCTTGTTCAACTGTGATAGTCAATACACATTCGTAATGTACCATCTTTCTTCTTCACGAAGAGTACCGGTGCTCCCCACGGTGAATGACTAGGTCTAATAAACCCATTGTCCAATAGTTCTTGTAATTGGACCTTCAACTCTTGAAGTTCTGCCGGTGCCATTCGATAAGGAGGAATCGAAATGGGTTTGGTTCCCGGCTCTACTTCAATCACAAATTCGATCTCTCTATCGGGTGGAAGCCCCGGTAAGTCCTTGGGAAAGACGTCCGGATACTTACACACGAAACGTACATTGTTGATGTCGTCCTCCTTCTTTGTCTGATCTACCACGTAAGCAAGGTACGCGTGCCAGCCTTTCTTCATCATCTTCCGCACTCTCATCACGGATATGATACAACTTTGAGTTCTTCCTTGATCTCCCTCGAATAGTAGGGCGTTTCCCTCATCATCTTCGATTTCTAAGACCTTGGTGTAACAATCAACTCGAGCATGATGCTTCTCGAGCCAATCCATCCCTAGGATCGCATCAAACTCCAGCATGCTTAGAGGTACGAAATCACAAGTCAAAGGTTGACCCGTCACTTTCACCTTACATGATGGATAGTAATGATTCCTTTCCACATCGTCTCCTAATGGTGTGGAGACTAGCAAAGTTTGTGTCATTGTTGTCAATGGCACGTCAAGACTTTCGGCGAACGCCTCACTCACAAATGAGCGTTGTGCCCCAGTATCGATGAGGATCCTCGCACTCCTACTGTTGATCTTTAATGTCCCTACATTTATTCGCCATGTAAGATACACCTTCAAATGTTTTTGGACCCGTTTTGGGGGTTATTACGTTTACATTAATGTTTGGAATCAAACGGGGTCCGATCGTAGAAGAACGGAGTGAAAAATCGGTTTTTCGGGCGACGGGGGTCTACGCACGGTTGTGCGTAGGGCACGCACAGTCGTGTGTGCGTAAAAAACTCGGGTCCGGCCACTGCCGGCTATGCACGATCATGAGTACCCGGACACGCACGGCATGCATACCGGCACGCGCGGTCGTGCATTTTGCGCGAAAAACACCCCAGAGTTACTGCCCCCTACGCACGATCATGCGTGGGGTTGGACGCACGATCGTGCGTCCCCGGTTTCAGCCGGTTTTAGCCCGATTTCCCCCGCAGTTTGACCCCGGGCCGGCCCGCACTCGATCCCTACGACGTATATGTTCAAAATATGCCTAGAACACAGACAAAATAAGTGTATTACCTGCGACGGAGTCCGGGTTTGCTCGCGCATCTGCCTCGGTCATCGCTTACACTCTTGCTTGGATCCCTCCTTGATTGATGGACGCGGCATTGCTTGTTGACACGACGCCTCTTCCCGTACCGCCATGTGACGGCCCAGCACGGTTCCTCCCCATCATGACTCCTCCTCCGGCTCCCAATGCATTTCCTTGTGTGGTTTGAGGGCAATTAGCTTTCATATGCCCCGCATTCCCGCATTTGAAACACCTTGGTGGTTCATTGCACTTCCCAAAGTGTTTTTTAGTGCAATTGGGGCATCTAGGTGCCCCTGAATTCTGTGTCCTAGGTCTGTGCCACCTTGCATCCCTATTCTTCTTTGCCGGCGGCGCTGGTGGTCTAAATGAGCCACCACCATGGTTGCTCTTCTTAGAAAGATCGGGTTGCCCCGAATTGCTCCATTTTCTCTTCTTCGCCTCCTCGGCGTCTCTTGCCCTCCTCTCATTCCATTGGGTTTCCCCAAGAAGGCCCTGCTCTACCACCTCGCTAAAGGTCATATGGCGAGAGTACGTAGCCCGATCACAGATGTCTAAGAGTAAGGCATCCCAAAAGTGTTCCGTCATGCGGTCCTCATCGGCCGCATACTCCGGTAAGAACCTAGCCAAGCTTCTAAATTCTTTCTCCAATTGTTTAACGGTGCCCCCTCCTTTTGCTTGAGGTTCATGTACTCCATCCGCTTCACGTTTACTTCATAGTCGGAGTAGTATTGAGCATAGAACTCCTGTTCGAAGTTCTCCCATGAGATAGTCCCACGATATTTCCCATCTACACTCTCCCACCATGTAGAAGCTATCCCTTCAAGTAAACGTGAAGCCACGGTCAACTTTACATCAGGCGTGATTTGCATATCCCTCGATGCATCTTTCAGCTTCTTAATCCAATCGGCGGCAACGGTGATGTCTCCGGTACCGTCAAAGGATTTGCACCCCAAAGCCCTTGCTTCTTTGAGGTATTTGGAGATTCTAACACAGAAATCCCCACCATGTCCACCTTGGGACACCCCAGAACCAGCCCTCGAAGCTCTCCGGCTCCCTTGACCTGAGCCTCCTCGAGAACCACGCCTCGTGATACGTTTGTAATTTCCATATTTATGTTTGTGTTTTTAATTAGTTTTGCTTGATCTTTACTATGGAAATTACACACTTTTGGTGTAATAGATTAGTTTGTTAAATTCTTGTAAATAGGTTAGATTAGATATATTCTGAGCTCAAACAGGTCTTGATCACTCGAAGTACAGTTGGTGAACCCAAAAAGTGGAAAGAAGGTGCAAAAATTTGAAGACAAAAGAAGATCTTGAATTTTGGTCTATACTCGGTCGAGTATTAACTATACCCGATCGGGTATTAGGTTGAAACTTCAAATCGGATCAGATCCGAATACAAGGGAACATGCCGGGAAGATTTCGGCCACGATTTAATGTCTATACCCGATCGGGTAGGCCGACATACCCGATCGGGTATGCCTTTGAGTTTTAAACGAAGATCGGTCGAGTATGGTCCGAATACCATTTTCTAAGCATACTCGACCGGATATTAATATATACCCGATCGGGTATACTTATGGAAAACAGCCTGAAACCGGTCGAGTATACCTCGGATCGAGTATTACACACATACTCGATCGGGTACCATGTATATACTCGATCGAGTACCCGAATCCCATCCCAAAAGCCTATAAATACACCTCCTTTCCTTCACAAAAAGATATTCAATTCCTTTGTACATCTAAGCTCAGTATAGAATAGTTCTTTCTTTATATTTTTCATCATGTTTAGTCTCCAAATGAGGAGCTAAACTCTTCCATCTTGGTTTTGCTACTTTGAAGCTTAATGAATTTGTAAGTTGTGAGTTATTTTCTTTAATCTTCTTCCTTGAATATTAATTCTTCCTTTAAAATACTATCTCTATATCAAAGTTGGGGAGTGTTACTAAGATGACAATTAGTTAACATCTTAACATTGGTTATAGTAATAACTATTTCTTCCTCTATGTTAATATTGGGGAGTGTTACTAAGATGACAATTAGTTAACATCTTGATATTAATCATAGTAAGATTCATATTCTTTAATATTCTTCCTTGAGTATTAATTAATTCCTATTCATATTTCATGTTAATATCTTAAACATTACTTAAAGTATCAACTAGTATTGTTTCTCATATTAATTATTACTAGAATCGATCGGTTAATACGCTTGTTATTAATCCGGTTCTTTCAACGGTAGTAAACTTGGAATATTAATGCATGCATCTCATGGTTAATATGCCAAGGGGAATTAATTATATTGATTAAACCAATAAACCGCTTGTGTTGAGGTTATCAATCTCAATCGTTTTCATCTTAAGTTTATTGCTACTATCAAGTTAATATACGGCGCTTGTTCTATATTGACTCGATAGTAAGTTTTATTAATGAACGCATCTCGTTATTAATAACTACCCTCGATGAACTAGATATACTCCTCGATTGAGTATTCGAGAGGAAGATAGTTAAAGATATAACCGGGATCGACGAACATTTCATTAAGTGGATAAAAGCAAAGCCAAGTTCTCATCTCATTGAATCAAACTCATATAGGTTGTTTATCTTAGTGTTTTTAAAATCAAACAAATCTAAACCCCCCTTGTTACTACTTATATAAAAGAAAAGTATTCCTTTCCCTGTGGATACGAACCTTACTTCGTTATACTACGTATATTCGTTGTATTGATTAATTATTTTGAGTGCACCTCACGACAAGTGCACGTCACCTCGCTTGGCGTCTTAGTTCTCTCATTTGCTTCTCTTTTTGATACCATTCGAGCAATTCACCCATTTGGGCGAATCGGGCATCACTCTCATCATTATTCTCATCATCGGTGTAGAAATCACCCCCGTCGTATGAGGTCTCCTCATGCTCCGCCTCAGGAACATAGGTTGCATCATATTCCTCAGTGTTTGTTTCATACACTAATCTAACTAAAAAATGAATTTTGAATTTGTTTGATTTGAAACTGAAAAGAAAAGCTTGAATTAAAATGGATGCAAGAAATTTAAATGAATGAAAATAAAGTGATTAAACAACTAACGGAAAACGATTGAGGATTTAGCAAAAGAAAAGATAGTCCAGGATTATGATTCTATCACTAATTTTTAGTATTTGTGATTTGGTCAGTCAATTAAAATTGAGGGTTCGTCGTTCTAGACAAAAATATGACTATTTCGTATGGCGTCCAGAATAAGTCACGTATTTTAACTATTAATCAATTACAAATTATTAATTCAATAGTTAAAATCCATTAGTCATAAAAGAACTACGGAAACCCGATTTAAGAACCAAATAGATAATGTAACAAGACAGTTGAATTATCTATTCTTTTATCCAAAAGAGCTCGAATTAATAGGCATGGCATGTACTCTATTAATCCACTCAAACAACTTACTTAAGCATGCTAAAATTGGCCAGATGTCAACACAACAAATTAAGCGAAAAATATCAATGAATAAAACTCAACCAATTGACATAACTATAATCACAATTCATACTAAATCATAACAACTTCATCATAATCCGGACTTAAAGAATTTAGCTACTCATATTAAAACTGGTTGAGAGTAAAACAACAATAACTAAAGAGTTCTTCTTGATCATCTTAATGATCAGCAAACAATTACAAAATAAAGCAAACTGGAATTTTAGAACAGGAAGAATTAATCAAACCAGAGTCATTTTCTAGAGGAAAGATTCTGAATAAATTGCTAGCTTCCACGAGGGAGAAAGCCAGCAATACAGAAAGGAACTCTTCTCTCTTCCAGACGCAGGTCCAAACCCCCACCTCCTTCGGCACTTGGCTTTTCGGCCAGAATCCCCCCACTAAACCCTTGCTGCTGCGTTTTTTTTAATATCCCAGGATTACAGCCGTTTCCAGAATTTTCCTCCTAAGTTTTCGGTGCCGTTCCAAGAGTCTTCTTCCACCGCAATTTGTGGAGCCGTTTAGAACTTGGACAAACCCACTCGCTCCAGCCCCTTCCCCTTATTCTTGACTTGGCTTTTCTCTTTTCTTATTTTTCTGGTTGTTGGGCTGCTGGTGCGGTCCATTGTGTTTTAACTTTCTTTTTTTTTTGCTTTGCTGATGTCATGTGAGTTAAAAGGAGCAATCCTCTTTCAACTTCTCAACAGCCTTTAGAAAAAACTCACAATCGGTCCAAATGTACTCAAGTCACTCAAATAAAATCCTCACTTGCAAAAGTCATTTTTTAGGATAAAAGTAAGATTAAAACCTCTCAATTGAGCAAATAATAAACATAGCATTGTAATAAAGTAATATAAAAATGAAGCACATATTCTAGCTCATCATACACCGAGCTAACATGACCGTCGCTCACCGCTTGGGCTCGATGGCCCCCATGACTCCCACGGCCTCCACGGCTTCCTCTTCCACCTCTTGAACCTCGAGATGCGGCCCGACTAGCCCCAATAGAAGCTACCGGTGTTTGCCCCCTCGGATTGTTTCTTGTTGGCATACGTCTACCTTCCATTTCTGAAAGGAAGTTTGAACGAGTCGTTAGACTCCAATCAATGTCAATTGACGGAAAAACGTTATAGACACATATTGGCCCAAGTCACCGCCATACCAATTGTTAAGGGTACCATCTTAACAACTAGAGACCTTGCAACCCAGGTAACAACAATCCTATAAACGTCAAAATACAATGCTCATGGTTTTTGGTAAAAAGTCTTTTGTAAGATCCCTTGTGAGAGGTTGACTACGTAGTTTAGAAACTGAGATGGCTCTGATACCACTTAATTGTCACGCCCCAGACCGCATCTAAGCGCGTGTACAACCGCCGTGTGATTAAGTGACGTCACTCGCAAGTCAACCTCACATAATCACACAAGGCGTTCATGAACATCGTTCACACCATACTCAGTAGTAAACATACATAACAACATCACATCATACTCAGTACAAGTACCGAGCGAGTAGCAAGCTAAATGTAGAGTAACTAACGTTTCAAGTATAAGACCCAAACATAGGGTGATACATATACTTATACTTCCTTACCCCAAGTTACAAAATATGTATCAGTACTTATATACACTTGGAAATAACCGACCCGTAGATCATTGTTTAATTGGGAAAAATAATAGTAGTCAATATCCTTGACTTAAAACCCCAACCCACCCATAGACCTATGAGTGTATAGGACTCCTCCTGTCCAAATCAAATAATCATAAGGGCATTTCATCTCTAAACATATCACACATGTTTTTATGAGCATTTTCACTTCACAAATCATGCATATTTCAATAGTTCACTTCATACAAACCTAATTACTTTAATTGGCTAATCACATGTTTAATTCATTTAAACATTATTATAAAAACACATAACATATACTTAGGTAATCTCATACTTAACCCAAAAGTTACAAGACATTAAGCCACCCACTCATCTTAAATGCGTTATAGCGTGTTCTACGCTCTTCGGTTGAACTCCGGCGGAACTCTGGCCAACTCCGGCGAAACTCTGACGAAACTCCGGCGAGCTCTAGAAACAATTTAGTCAAGCTCCTAACATGGTTTTATCATCACAAAACCCATATCAATACAAATAACCTCTAAAAGGTTATTTTCCGGCGAACCGGTTGTTTTGGCTTCTAAGTCCATTCTTGGACTTAGAACCACCTTCCAATCCCTTGTTCTATACTTGTAAACATGTAGAACAATCCCAGGGGTACTTCCTACGTTAAAAAGTCACATGAAAATCGAAAATATGGCAGAAACGTTGTTAAGGAGTTCCTCACCTTTATTCTCAAGGTTTTTCACTACTTTTGCAACTTTTTCCTCTTCCATGAGGTCCTTTCTTGTTTGAGCTGGCCTTGGCTATGGAGGACAATGATTTCAGAGCTTCTTTCCTTGCCTTGAGAGTGTTTGGTCGAGCAAAGAGATAGGGTGTGAGAGAGAGTGGCTTATTTTGTCTCAAATGACAAATAAGTGATGGGAGGGGGGTCCTCCATGTACTTAGATGCCAAAGCCACCTCCTCCACATCTTCCTTTGTCAACTCCAGCCTCATCATGTCTAATTGAGCACAAAAATCGTGGGGTCGCCCCCACTCATGTGGGAGGTCATCCCATTAAGCCCCAAACTGTACAATTGGTCCTGAAAGTTGTATTTATCGAACTGTTTTAATTATATTTTATTTTATCGGGTCAAATAAAATATAACACACGTTCTTTATAATTATTGGACCTTAGAATGAATATACATTCCTCAACTTTAATTTAGAAGTCTCCGAAATTCGGCTGTTATACGATAAATTACCAATACCGGTAATTGGGCCTCGTTTGACCAACGGGTCAACCCTATGCCCTTCCCATGGCCCAACTAAAATATCCACCACCATATAAATATTATCTAATCCAAGATGAATACATTATGTGGTCCCGAGATTATCGGGTGGTCCCCACTCCCGATGTGGGCCCCACGTGCAATTCACTATTCACGCAAAAGTAATAACAAAATTTACAATCTCGTAAATTCATAAATCATTATTCAGGGTTTATTACAGGATTTACTAAAAAGTAAATTTACTTGGGGACGGTGTTACAAATGCTATTGTACTCTGAAACGTTTGGCGTAAGGAACTCTGCAATGGTCTGGCGCTGATAGAGTGGATTATTGTGTGGTACATATGGATTGGGTGGAGACGCCTGATGTCTAGGCTGGGGGGCTGGTTGTGGCTGAGTAGGTGGGACTTGGGTTTGGTTTTGAAACTGATTGGGGTACGGATTTTGGTACTGGGCCTGATTTTGGAATGTAGGTTGATTGATTGGAAGTGGGTTCTGTCTCGGTTGGAAAACGGGAATACTCTGCCCTGCTCCTTGCATCCCATAAACTTGGTTTTGAAAATTGGTTTCAGGAGCAGTAGGGGTATTTTGAAAAAGTTGATATAATGGAGGGAGGTTAAATTGCGGTGAAGGCTGATTTTGGGAAAAGATCGGAGTACGGTAGTTTTGAAAACTAGGAGGGTTTCTAGGTGAAATTGGTGGTGAAGATTGGGGTGACGTGTTAACGTAGAATTATTGTTGAGAGGTCGTGTTAGAGATACCAGACATCCCTGCAGTTCCAGATGAAGACTGATGGTCCATGATATTTTTTTCTTTTTGAGCCTTGTGGTTTTGTCTAGCGAGCTTTTCGATCTCAAGATTAAGAGGGATAAGCGGTTCTCCCCTCTTAGAACGTGTATGTATAAACAGATTTGACCTGCAAGGTTAGCAGACAAAAATCCTACGAAAAACTAAAAATGAATCGCTGAGTTAAATTAACCCTTAAGAGCGACACCGTCCCCGACGGCGGCGCCAAAAACTGATGTGAGTTTTCTCGCACTTAAAAAGATTGTAATGTAGTGGTGTAAGTACGAGTATCGTCTCCACAGGGACGGACAAAAGGGAATCAAGAATTAATTAAGTTCAGCGATTAAAAATAAATGAAATAAAAGTGTCGTGCGGGTTGATTGAGAAAATTAAAATTGCAAATAAACGAATAAAAGTAAAGAATTGGGTTCTTCTTAATTAACGACAAAGGGAATAGGGATTGATTCCGGGGTAATCAGATTTCTGACAGATCAGGCTTAATTACATGAAATTAATTAAATTGAGCTTAGCTAATCAATACTAAGTTCTTACCGCTCTCGCGGCGTAGAGTACAATAATTTAGGGGACCAGGCTGATCTCTCATGCGACAGATTCCTAAATTATTGCCAAGACTAGCGAGCTTATGGCCCCTTAATTGCTACTAATCTCTTAGCGAACGATTAAGTGTGTGTGAATGTGTCCTAGAAAAAATTAGATATCTCTTGATTTATTCTACAAGCAATTGTAATTCTAGTGGCCATCTAGGTTACAAAAGATATCAGTTAAATTATTCAAACACAAATTAAACGGCATTCATGCAATTTAAACCATCAAGAAACTAGCCATACACCGTGATCAACCCCTTCATCAATCCCAAATCCCTAATTAAAACTACTCCCGACTCATAATTGAAGAATCAATAGAATTGGGAAGAATAGAAATAATTGCCATTAATTAAAAAGTAGGAACTTACAATGAATCTTAAAGAATAGAAACAACCAGGGCTAAAAAGCTCTCAAATTCGTCCTTAAGCTTGCTCTCAAAGTTCCATCCCCCTTTAATAGGGTTAGGGGGGTGATATTTATAGGAAACAAAGAATTTGGGCTTAATTAAGGCAAATCGAGGCCAGGCACGACACCAGGCACGATCGTGCCTGGGATCGTGCCTGTGGAGCAGACGCGAATTTCGTATAGAGGCACGATCGTGCCTCCCTGTCAGACACGATCGTGCCTGGCATCCAGCGGCTTCGTGAATTTGTTCTTCAGGCACGATCATGCCTAGGCCCAGGCACGGTCGTGCCTGACCTATCCTTGACCGTTTCACGCTGTTTCTTGCTCCAAACGCTCCCGGATGCAAATAAGATCGATCCAAATGCTCTTTCTTCATCAGAATTTCATCGTGAATCTCCCGGTGACCTCCAAATCTCTCAAATCTTACTCGAATGTTTCCAAACTCTTCCCTAATGCCTCTTTAAGCGCTGATGCGGATCTCTAACTTCTTCAATTCAGCTTCAAATGCAACAAAACTCAACCCAACGCCTGATAATCACAACTTGAGCTAAAATTGAGACTTGAAACACCTTAAGGCTAGGAAAATCATCATAATCCGACTCTAACGCGCATCAAATGCGTGTTATAATACGAACTTATCAAACGTCAAAGTCACCGCCTTCTTCATACTCAACAGGAAATGTTAGATACATAGAATGCTCGTTAATCGAGCTTTGTTCAGTAACGGGAGTTGATTTACTTTTTCATAAGATTGCCAAATGTTGATTTAAAAAATGATGTTCGTGTCAGGGGAGGGGGTGCGCTACCATATTGTGCATGAAACTCATTAAATAATTGATAAAATAAATTACTAACCTCGTTGTATTCTTGTTTAGGGTCTATGGGCTTATCATCGTACGTAGGAAATAGACCAAAAAAAGAAGCATAATAGTAATCTAAACACTTTCCCAAAGCATTAAGTCTACAATGAGGATCAAGAATAAATGCAATACCATACATAATACATATGTAGAATATGTGAATAATATTTTAAAAACGTTTCTTTCATGAAAGAACAAAAATAACTAACGTAAGCGGCATCAGAAAATTCACAAAAAGCGTCGGCAAGATTAATAGCTTAAACAAAAAATTGGTTTGCGGTAGGTGTATAAACATGACTAAAAGTTTGAGTTGCATTATTAAAAAATACCAAAACATTCACAATTTTTTGCATAGTGTCGATGTCAGCCCGGTTTATAATATAGTTAGCATATTCTTTTAAAAAAGAAGGAAGAAGGTATTTTAATCTAATAAGTACAACAATTAAGTTATAAGTACTATTCCAATGAATAGATAAATCTTTAGGAAAAGCACAATATTTGACACGTCTTTCCCTCAAATATTTACGCCCACTAGTAGAAAACTGTCTTACAGTGACACTTTGTTAATGACACTATTTGATGTAGTGTCAAAAACTGACGATATAACCGAAAGTTTACACATAAGTATCACTGATTTCTGACACAATAATATCACCATTCACAGTGACACTCAAGCTGAAAAAATGGGGTCATATTCATAATTTATTAAAACTTTTTTTTGAAATGGGGTCTATTTTCTAAATTTTTAAAGTTTATATATGTAAATCTGATAAGCCCATATTTTGACCCAACCCTTATTCCCCCTAACCTAGGTCCGCACTCTTCGGTGATGAAGAGCAGCGCTGCAGCCGTAAGTCGTGAATCGACTACATCGAAGGGTAGCAGCAATGAGCCGACGACCTTGAGCTTCTTCTACCTTTTACTTCACTGGTAAGGTGTACTACCTGAATTTTCATTCGTAGGTGTACTGACTTTAATTTCCAATTTTGTGTGTGTTGTGTTGCAAAGCCGAAATGGTCAGCCGAAACCTTATCATCTGGGTTCAACGAGACCACATCATTGACTTGGGGCGGCACACGCATCGGCCATTAACACTGGCGAGCGTAGCATTTCGAGAGATACACAACTCGTGACCGCAACAATCGATGACTGGATCAGACTGTGAGCGGTGCAGGAGGGGAGCGGCACTGTCGGTGAGCGGACCAGGCGACCAGCTAGGCGAAGAGCAGAGAAACTGCGACAGACCAGGCTGGAGGAGAAATCGTGAGTAGACCATACGAGATGAGCAATCGCGAGCTGAGTACGTTGCACCGGGAGGAGGTGGGGAGTGTGAAATTCACCTCAACCACTGTTGCGCTTCTTCCCGGTAGTGGTTCTGTGTTTTCTTGTATGTCACTATTATATCTATTTTTCTTTAAACTGGCTGCAGTATCTTCTTGTAGAAGTCTCCCTTCTTCCTGATCGGTTGAAGAAGATACCCTTGCAGGTTTGAATCTATTGTTGATTCTTGTTTGATGATCTAGTTATTTCTAGGCTCCATTTGACAGCCTTGGTTGGCTTATTCCGCTTATCAGCAAAATAAGTAGAATAATCACAATTAGTAGCTTTTGGCTTAGTTATTAGTCTGAAATGGGACCAAGGAGCATTTTCTTAAGAACCACTATCATGCCTTGTCTGGAACCGTCTTTAGGCTCAGCGGAGTTTTTTTCTCCTCCTTTCAAGGTTCCTTCTTTTCTACGACTCAGGTAAGCCAAGAACCTAACTGTTTTGCATTAGAAGCTCAAACAACCTTGCTTAGTTGTTCCTTGTTTGCTAACAGTTGAACAGCTAGAAAGCTTCTTTAAGCATTTTCCTGATTATCCAAATGCTTTCTTGATTGGTGGTCCTTTTCTTGAGAATTGCCTTCATGTCACTGAAGAGACGTAGTCAGAGAATTGCCTTCGTGTC